TCCATTAATTCCTATAGCTGAATATGAGCTGAATAGGCTCACAATCTTAGCACAGAGTTTCAGGTCCACGCCGCCCACAGAAGGATACATACATATTTCGTTAAACACGAACCATGTACCTGGATGAGCCATATTCCATATTCAATTATTTCTCTTGGCTGAATGCTGATGCTGGAGGGTCCAAGAAAGCTAGGATGAAACTACAGCTATATTCCGTCTTCAAAAATATAGATACATATGTATATCTCGTTAAACTGATGATATGACCGCATGAGCTTTCATATTCCCCTTTTATTCTAAAGCGAAATATATAAATGGGTGGCCATCCATGCCCCGCAGAATAGCGAGCAGTAACATTTTATTTTCCATTTTCAACGAACAAGGGCTTGATTTGACTGGAGTTTGATTTGAATTTGCGTCAGCTCATAGATCGTAATATTGATTGGGGCGCTTACACAATGGCAAAAAGGAAAACCATATCTCTGAGCGAAAGCTAATAAAAGCTGTCGCTTCCATTTTATTGACAGCAGCCTGTAGTACCGTTAAGCGATTTCAATTTATAGATTAGCATGTGCCAAAAAAGCAAAAAAAAAAAAATAGGAAAGACTGCAACCATTTCAGTGCAATGCTTGAGGCAAACGCTCATTGTTGCTGCCAATTGCAGATTTTATCTTGCCATACGACATGTCTCTCACTCTACGTTGCAGCCAAAATTAGTTTGCGACATGTTAAAATTTTGGTTAAAAATATTTTTTATTTGACATCTTTTCTGCGAGCCTCTTCCCTGATTGGAGAAGAAATAAAAAGTGTCATATATACTAAATGCATACATATATACTTACATAAGACTATATGCATTTATATACATATCCATCAGTATGTATATCCACATATCTAATTAGAGCACACTGTTCCAATTTCATTACCACAAACTATCTAATTTCAAAGTTGATAAGGCAATGACAACAATGCACTCGGTGTTCTGATAGCTCCTATCTGTCTGAGTTATTAGCTTGTGTCTTATCAACAATTCTTGCATTGACACGGGCTTTTCTGCATCAACTTCTGCGGTCTACGGTTGGGGATACCACTAGACAATAGCCGAACTTTTAATGATTTTTTAGGACAACTTCAAAAAACATTAGTCTTTTGGACCTTTATAAGACTCTTTTTGCCAGGTTCGAAACCCGGAACGATCAAATTGTAATCCTATGATCAAATGAAGCGAAACAACCAAGTTTTCAGATTTAGAGAGCTCATTGTACGCTCATAAAATATTGTTGGTGAAAGAGTTGAGAAGAGAGAAAAATATGGAGGAATAGAGTACTGAAGTGTTGACAACTTTGCAAACATAATTCGAATTACTGATGATTGATTTTGATATATCCAAAACATTACAAAGACGGTGCGTTGAAGACATTGCTCGATAAGAGTCCGTGTCAAATGCAAAAAGAAGTTGCTACAGCATTGGCGCGCACCCACCAAATCATTTCATGGTAACTACAAGCACTGGGAATGATTCAGAAACATGGAACTTGGGTTCCCTATGACCTGAATAAGAGCAGCGATACGAAAAATTTACAACGATTGGCCTAAGGTGTATGTAAATAGGAAGTCCTACCTCAACCGCTATATTCCTCTGATATTGGACCCGCCTATTATTTCTTTCGTTCCACTCACAAGACGACAACAAAAATTGGCTTGATTATTGGATAGCATGACGAGTTGAAAAGTTTTATTTTAATGGTATTCGGACTTCAATGGAAAATAGACCGAGAACTTTTCTTGACCAGTTTCAGCAAAACTCAACCTGGTAATCGGATCTGATATTCCTTGCAAAATCAAACAGAATATAGAAAGATCTTGGGGACAAAAATTAGTTCGAACTTTCAGCCAATGACAAGTGTCTCTCTAGTACGTCTTCGAATCACCGTCCCTCAAAGTAACACGTTGCATACGCGGCCGCATATCACTTTAAGTATGGTCAGACCCCAAAACCCCCACATGAGCATACATATATAACAACAAGTAGCAGTGCAATCGCACACTTGAGCAGATGTCTACTTTTGCAATCGACCTGATTTAAAATGGCTTATAATCGCAATGAATATTAACAACATTGTAAACAATTCTTAGACATTCACAGACACTCACATTTAGAGATAAAATCGGCCGACAGCTAATATAACAAAAGACCTTTCCAGATCCACAAATGCAATCCACATTTTCAGGTATAAATAAGCAATAAAGTTTTGCGACAGCAACAGTTGCAAATAGTTCTCAACTCTTTGGTCTACAAACTACCCGCAAACGAGCAATATGAAGTCGCGTAAGTTATTTAAAACCAGCCGTCTTAGGAACCTTTACTGACTTGTCACTTTAGTTTTACTTTTAGTACTGTGCCTTTGGCTCCTGATAGCCGCGACCTATGCCGCAGAGGACACCTGCGATCCCGATAGCGATGGCAAGCCGGTGTGTACGGCAAACTCAAATGGTCAGACGTACAGAAATTTCTGGGATCCAACACGTTATTGGGTTTGTAATGGCGCCGGTGAGCCAACTTCGGAACGCTGCCCGAGTAATACTGGTTACAGTGGTACCACCAATAAATGTATATCATGGACCGATTGGGTGTGGGTACCACCATGCGGCAGCGATGAAGGATTACTCAATATAAATTTCAGTGTCTAGATCCAATTTTACCTTTGCGCTTGTTGCTTTATCTAATTGAAATTTATTGTGTTTGTTGCTGCATAAGTTTTTGTAAAAAATATTAATAAATAAACACGGTTTTCTGGAAAAAAACAAATCACTAACTCCTCGATAAACCATACTGAAGCTCAACTTGTATGCAATTCTGGGAACCTTTATGTAAAAAGTGGCAAAGCCATTCATTTATGTCTGGGAGAAGCAGAGTTTTAGCGTCGCTATTCAGTGACGCTTGAATAGACTTTAGACACTTTAGGATCGGCATGTAAAACCTCAGCTCCCATTAAAATTTCTACAAAGCTTCAATTCAGTTTCCCTACTCGCCACAAAGATTAAGGCCGAATTACTTAAGGGTATGCACTTGGAAAGATCGATTGCTTAACAGCGAAGGTGTACTTGGCGAGGTAAAACTCAAGCAGTCACAAACAGCAGGATCGGAATAAGACAGAACGAGGCCATAGACTTTTGTGGCAGCCGAAACATTATAACGTTTCTATTAGTAATCTGCAAAGAGTATGTGGAGCAGCACTTGGCCCTGTAGCAAAGTTGGATGTCTCCGAATCTAAGTAGACAGGTCCTATCAAATGATTCTTAACTGCAACTCGTGCTGACAAAACTTCTTATTTCCTTACATTTATAGCGGTCTCAAATAAAAATGATTTACAAATTTAGGAAAGACTCGTAAGAAGAAGAAGACAGAGTGGTGATTCGAACTAACAATTTTGTGTAATATTTAAATAAAAGAAATCAATTTGGTGCTATATTGATTATACTGCTATCACTTTCAAGAATTGCGCCGTGGTTTACGAGTGTACGGGATCCCGAATGTGAAAAAAATTATTTATTAACAAACATAATAATAATACAGTGATATTTAAAAATAGTCCTGAACTGACGGGACTACTTTTTCAAAATCCCGAAATTTCGGGATTTACAAAAGTTTAACAAATTTAAGAATTTTGACATGCATTCCGAGTACACGCGATCCCGAATGCAGAAATATTAAAAATATGTTCGAATATACGTATTGACAAGCATAAAAATAATACAGTGATGTTCAGGCATAATAATGAATTCACGGTATAACTTTTTTCTAAATCCCGAATTTTCGGGATTTGCAAAACTTGTAGAAAACTTAATTATTTAATACAGTGTTAAGTTAGCGGAACCATTTTTTTCCAAAATCCCGAAATTTCGGGATTTGTAAAACTTGTACCAAATTTATTACTTTTAATTGATTGCTGAGCGCATCTAACTCGCTTCAATTTGTCCTAATTAGTTTCGAAAACTATTAAGCTTAGAATATTGTACAAATGTAAGAATATTTCCTCTTCGCTAAACTAATTGTACGTGTATTTGTACCTAGTAATGTATTAGCATATAAATTTAAAAATAAAGTATACAAGCTAATTAGCATATAACACAGCTTTGGGACATATCCGCTGCGGCGTTTTGTGGCCTTGTGGCTGACTGTCCAGTGGCTACGACTGCAGACAGAACGTCTATTTTCCGTGCGCGCTCTCCTCTCTCTCTCTCCCCCCGCGTATTGCCTGTGGCCCATTTGTGTTAACAGCTTATTGACTTGCTACTAACTGTTTGACTAATAGCCAACTATCGCACGCACTATCAATTATCGATTACCAACAACTACTGAATAATTGCTAATTAGCAGAGATAATGCACGATACAGTACGCCATGAAAGTGTGCAAACCACGGCATAAGAGCTAAGTATTGCTGGCAAAATGAAGACGATTACTATAATTGGTCAATTGATTGTTCTTTCCGTTTGCTAATTGATTATATAATAAATTCCAATTGTGTGTATTTGAGTGTATAGCGACACTTATGCGTTTGGATTGTGAAAAGAACGGTTTGGAATTTAGTAGAGAAAATCACTTGCTAGCAATTTGTATAAAAAATTGTTTGCAGTGTACAATTCTTGACTTAACGCTAAGGAATTTCGCTAACATGCTTCTGGCTCACACTCAAACTTATCAGTAATAAAAACATATATTGTCAGTGGAAAATTAATAGATAAAGTTCGTGGCTGCAATTTCTAATTGCAGTGAGTGAAAATAGTGAAATAAGATGTTGGCGTCAAAAAGAAACAATTAATTTTCAAGTTTGCTGATAACAGATAGTTTCATTATTGCAAAAAAGCGCAATTTCGCGAATTCACTTGGCCTCACATGCCTCTCCACACGCTTTTTCTAAGTGATAAAGGTTCTAATGCTGTCTAGAGTGGAAAAAATTTCCTATAAAAAGGGCGGCAATGCAACAGATTGTCACTCGTCGCAATTCTCGCTTTCAAAGACTTTGCTCGCTCAAAACACTATATCAGTATAATGAAGTTCGGTAAGTTTATTTTGTGAGAAAAGAAAAAAAAAAGTGATTTATAGGAAAAAATTTCAAAGTTTTTCAAAAAAATATGTCAGAAAATTTTTCAAAAAAAAAATACATACTATTAAACACAAAAGAA